GTGAAATCTATCCGCAGTGACAATGGAAGTGAGTTCATGTGTCTTACACGTTTTTTTGAAGAACAAGGAATTGTTCATGAGACGTCTTGTGTCCATACTCCACAGCAGAATGGTCGGGTCGAACGTAAACACCGTCATATCTTGAATGTTGCTCGGGCTCTACGGTTTCATGCTAATCTTCCTATTGACTATTGGGGCGAATGTATCCTTACCGCTGGCTATCTCATTAACCGTACACCTTCGCTTTTGCTCCAAGGTGCGACTCCTTTTGAAAAGTTGTATGGAAACACTCCTTCTTATACACACTTGCGGGTATTTGGATGCCTAGCCTATGCTCATAACATCGATCATAAAGGTGACAAGTTTACTTCACGGAGTCGTCGTTGCATTTTTCTTGGTTATCCTTATGGGAAGAAAGGATGGAAGTTATATGATTTGGACCGGGAAATATTTTTTGTTTCAAGAGATGTTACATTTCAAGAAGATGTGTTTCCTTTGTCGACTTCTACTTCACCTTTGCCACCATTAAACACGGGTGAGGTATCTTCTCCACTACTTGCAGCTCCTCTGGACGATGATACGGACTCTCTTGAAATCACGGCTGCGGTTACACCGGCTCCGGTCGAGTCAGAGAAAACTGTAGAGTCCGAGACTGCCTTGGCCAAAGAAACTCCTGCTGTCACAGAAAATACGGGTGGTGTCACCGCACCGGCAGCTGAAAGTCTTGGTCAAGGGAAACGACCAAAAATACCCAATGTCCGTCTTCATGATTATGTGGTTGGCACAGTCTCTATTGATCCTCCTCCCCCTCTCTCTTCTCCGTCATCCTCCACTCAGCCATCCTCAGGTTCGTATTATCCTCTCTCTGATTATATCTCATGTGATAGGTTCTCTCCTAAGCATCGAAGTTACTTGGCATCTCTTACCGCCAATGTTGAACCTCGTTCTTTTGCCGAAGCTATGGAATATGAGGTCTGGAAAAATGCTATGGGATCGGAGATGGATGCGTTACAACGTAATCATACTTGGGATCTAGAAGAGTTACCACCGGACAAGAAAGCTCTTGGTAGTAAATGGGTGTTTACCATCAAGCTCCGATCGGACGGGACGATTGAAAGACATAAAGCTCGTCTTGTTGTTCTTGGAAATCACCAAAAAGAAGGTATTGATTACACGGAAACATTTTGTCCTGTCGCAAAGATGACCACAGTTCGTATGTTTCTTGATTATGCTGCTAAGAAAAATCACGAAATTCATCAAATGGACGTTCACAATGCCTTTCTTCATGGTGATCTTCTAGAAGAGGTTTACATGAAAGTACCACAAGGGTTCTCTTCTGCAGGTGATACAAGGGTATGTCGTCTCCGAAAATCACTTTATGGATTAAAACAAGCCCCTCGTTGTTGGTTTGCTAAATTGGTGGATGCTCTTCTCAAGTATGGATTTTCACAGACTCGGTCCGATTACTCATTGTTTGTCTATTCTAAGAAAGGTATCTCTCTGCGTATTCTTGTCTACGTTGATGACTTGATTATTTCTGGCAACTCTCCTGCGGAAATTCAGACATTCAAGAACTATTTATCTACTTGCTTCCACATGAAGGATTTGGGATTTTTGAAATATTTTTTGGGTCTCGAAGTGGCCCGCAGTCCGGCTGGGATTTATTTGTGTCAAAGGAAATACGCTACGGAGATTGTTATGGAGGCAGGTCTTCTTGGTTGCAGACCCGCGGGATCTCCTATTGACCAAAACCATCGTTTATCTCTTGCTAATGGTCCGGCGTTGGCTGATCCGCAGACGTACCGTCGCTTGGTTGGCCGTTTAATTTATCTTCTTGCTACACGTCCTGACCTCACTTATGCGATACACATTTTATCTCAGTATATGCAGAATCCAAGGGAGGAACATTGGCTTGCTGCTTTAAAAGTCGTTCGCTATCTCAAAGGCACTCTCGGACAAGGAATACTCCTACGGGCAGACTCACCAATGCACTTCACCGGTTGGTGTGACTCGGATCATTCTGCTTGCCCATTAACCCGTCGTTCTCTCACAGGTTGGTTTGTCCAGCTTGGCTCCTCTCCTATTTCGTGGAAAACTAAGAAGCAAGACGTTGTGTCTCTTTCCTCCGCTGAAGCTGAATATAGGGCAATGAATGAGGTTACTAAGGAATTGAAATGGCTTAAAGAATTACTTCAAGACCTTGGCTTTGATCATACCGACCCTATGACGATCCGTTGTGACAATAAAGCGGCTATTCATCTAAGTTGCAATCCGGTTTTTCATGAACGTACTAAACATATTGAACGGGATTGTCATTTTGTTCGCGATGAGATAGTCAAAGGTGTTCTCAAGCCTCTTCACGTGCCTACCGAAGACCAACTTGCGGATATACTTACTAAAGCACTAGGACGACGAGAATTCGATGCATTTCTACTTAAGTTGGGCATTCAAAATTTACATGCTCCAACTTAAGGGGGGGTATTGAGGATATCTCGGGATATCGTATATAGATATTACCAAATCTATTTTGTATAGTTTCCTTTATTCTCTAGGGTTTACAATGTCGTAAAGTTGTATATAAACAAGACCTTATGGTCCATATACAAGTTGAATCTTCTTCTACTCTTGAATTTTACAAACAGTCCACATATATCGAGCAATATTTAATATTATATATTGTTTACTTTTTATTTTCTTTTAAAAATTAAATGAGGTTACGACAAATAAAAGTATGACCCGTTAAGGCTTTTACATAGTTGTTTTAAGTTCACTTATGTTTTAAGAGAAACTGTCATATAATTCCAAATAGTGTAGATTAAATGTCTATTGCGATATTTACTAAATTTTGATAACCTAACTAGCTATGATATTGTTTCATTTTATGCTTTTAACGACATATTTGGTTATACTTCTAGTTAAGCTCAATTGTTTACAATACAAATATTCTCTTTTTTTATACATTCATTATTTTCTAATTTATTATAAGAAAAAGGTTAGTTTATATGATTTAACCATTATTGCAAAACTTTAAAGAACAAAAAAAAAACAAAAAGGATGTTTTCCTCAAAATTGTCATGTATATGCACCTTTTGCATGTATAATCGAAAAATATGTATGGTAAAAAAATTAAAATCTGAAGTTTACAAAAAAATAAAAATAAACACAACAATATCACATGTAACCAAAAACAAAAGAAAAAAAAAACGATGTAAGTGGATTAGTAGTATCTGACTTAGCTAGTTGAATTTGAAAACCACAGGTGGACAATGCTTGCATTACACGCAAGTGGTGTGGAGTGACTCGGTGAAGATAGGGTGTGCTATAATGCAACAATGGTTGGTATTTCGTGAGTTGTAACTATAATGCACCCGGTAATTGGATCGGAGAGTACCATTACTGATCCTCATCTCTAATTTGACCAATAATAATAATTATGAATAATCTAATTTGAATGACTGTTTCTTAAAAAATATTATTGTCTAATCTCAAGATGTAATAATTTATAATTTTCACATAAAGAGGTTGTAATGTTTGCTTTCTTTACAATGAATCAAATGCTGTCGTTTTTTTTTTTTGTTATCTTGTTAACATAATGAGGAAGTCCATTCTACTTGTAAAGTTAATTTCCTATTTATACATACAATAATTATTTATGGTGTAATTAAGTTCGCAGAAAACCCGAATTTAAAATCAAACTTCAGTATTAATTCGAAAGAAAAAAAATCAATCCGAACAGTACCAAACTTAGATCGGGTCTATTTGGGTAACAATTCTTTGAACTGAACAAATAAAACAAATCTATATTCTGACCCAAATCGATCCATTATGCTAAGTGTTCAACTCTAGTTAATTATATAGTGTATCTTATAAATTGTAATAAATCTGAGTCTAGCAGCAAGAATAGGTCATCTTTTAGAAAAACACTTTTTTTTTTTTTTTTCTTTGTAGAAGTTTATTTAAGTTTAAATTTTGTGAGATAAACAGTTAAGCAAAATTGCACATATCAAATTTGTTTTGTGAATTATGTTGACATAGCTAAATTTAAATTCTGTCGTGAATTAACAATAACATTATCCTACGGTTTTTATAATATTAGCAATAAACAACAATCAGTAATGACAGCTTGGCCGAGTGGTCTAGTGTTATTTGGATTATGACGTGTCTTACTTGACACCTGTCAACTTCATATTGGTTTCCTTTGTTTTCCCTTTGATTACATTTGTGTAATTTACTCATCTATAAGAAATTTGACTTCATTTGCTTGTTTCATCTGCTACAAAAATTGATTCTTCTTTTTTGTTCTAAGTTTGTGTGTGTATGATTTTAGGGCAGTCAAATCTTTTGAAGTCTTTGGTGTTAGTTATTGGAGCTGGAGGACTTGGTTCATCTGCCTTCCTTGTTGTATCTTGCAGCATGTGGTGTTGGTATGGTTTTCGACTCTTACCTCAAATCTATCTACAGATATCGATAGAATAGTAAACTTTTGGTTTGTTTTGATATGTATCTTGTTTTGTTTGATTATGGTGGCTCTCCTAGTTTTCTGTTTTGATTTAGTTTACCTTTTGTGGTTTATAATTGATTAGTGCAAGTGATGATGAAAAGACAGGGACATCATAATCTCTTTGAGATGAGAATGATGACTAATGTCTAGATGCGAATCTCTCTGATGCACATGTCATAGTGATAGTATATTGTAGTATTCAAATTATCTGCTATAATCTAGTGTTTTCAGTTTTTATTTGGTTGTTATTTTGTTTTGTTTTAATGCCATTTTGGTGTCTTTTGATGAGTGCAAGTGAAGATGAAAAGATAGGGACATCATAATTAGAATGATGAGCTATGTCTAAACGGGAATCTCTCTTATGCAGATTACTATGAATCTTCAAATTTTATCTTTGTTCATTCTATATCATCAAGTGATTAACAGTCTCATTGGTTTTGCCAATGATGTGCCTTAACAATTGCACGTATTATCGGGTTTTCAGTGATGAATATCACTAATGTCTGAGGCAACCTGTGAATATTGTTTCATGACTGTCTAAAAATGCATATCACTAATGAATTTTGTAATCATTGAACACAGATTGCAGAACATATTTAATCATGGAAATATTTCTTCTTTAATAAAAAAGTTCTTTTGTTTCTTCAATGTAATCGTTCAAGTTCATGTTACTGCTCATCCAAAAAATTGAAAATCATTTTATCAACAAACTAAGCAAGTAGCTACACAAAATAAGAACATCACTATTAGCATCCCTATTAAGGATTCTACCATTGGAAGACCTAATTTCTCCAAAACCTAAACCTGAAGTTCAACCTCAACCTCAGACTAACGGGAAACCAACCTGGGAACAAAGTGAATTACCTGTTTCTCAACCACAGGATGAGATACATCCACAGCCGCAGGCACAGATACAGCCACCACCGATTAAGAGGCCACCAGGACGTCCTAGAAAGGATGGAGCTTTGCCTACAGTGAAGACTGCTGCTTCTGTTTCCGGTGGTGTGGAAATTGTGAAACGAAGAGGTAGACCTCCGAGTGGAAGAGCTGCTGGAAGAGAGAGGAAGCCTACAGTTATCTCAGCTCCAGCTTCGGTGTTCCCGTATGTTGCTAATGGTGGTGTTAGACGCCGAGGGAGGCCAAAGAGAGTTGATGCTGGTGCTTCTTCTGTTGCTCCACCACCACAACCACCTAACGTAGAGAGTGGAGGAGAGGAAGCTGCAGTCAAGAAACGAGGACGAGGACGGCCTCCTAAGATCGGTGGTGTTATTAGGAAGCCTATGAAGCCTAAGAGAAGCTTTACTCGTACTGGTAGACCCGTAGGAAGACCCAGAAAGGTATAAAATTTCCTTCCTTTTTGTTTTCCTCTGTTTTGTCAGTGTTTCTGTGATCTCACAGTGGATATTATAGAACTTGAGTGTTTCAATTTTTCGAGTCAAATAGACGAGAAAAAGTTGGAAATTTTAGTCCTTGTGAATAAATGTCACTTTCCCTTCTGAACACTGTCTCTTTCGAGCGTGTGAGTAGAGAGTATCTAAATAGTTTCTAGAGTTTAATTATATTCGTGGTCTCTGCTTTTGGACTCTATTTATCTGTTTTTTAGTGTACTATTTATTTAAGATTTCTCTTTGTTTGGTAATCAAGAGCAAGTTGGTAGGTGGCTTGCTAATAATTGTTCACTTGAACTATGGGAATTACATAGGAACTTAATTATTGAGGCTCAAATGTCCAGCATTGGTTTATTCAATTTAAGGTTTATAATTTGTGTATTTTACAAGTCTTTTTATTGCCAGTTGTTTCACTAGAATTTGTTAATCTGTTGTATTGATTAGTTATCTAAATTACCTCTATGTTGTTGCCATTTTATAAACATAGAATGCGGTGTCAATGAGAGCTTCTGGACAACAAGATGGTGACTATGGAGAGCTCAAGAAGAAGCTTGAGTTGTTTGTAACTTAACTAATAAACAAAAACACAATATGGTTCTTTCTTGGCTTCAAGCTTAATTGCTTATGCTTGGTTTTGATGTCATGCAGCAAGCGAGAGCTAAGGATATTGTTACTGTGTTGAAAGCTGAGATAGGAGGCACTGAAAATCAAGCGGTGGTTCAAGCCATACAGGACCTGGAAGGGACAACAGGAACAACAACGGAGACAACAAACAAGCCACAGCACATGGAAGAAGTGCAGTTGCCAGACGAGGAACACCCTGAAACTGAACCCGAACCAGTGGGACAAGGACAAGGACAAGGACAAACACAAACAGAAGCAGAGGCTATGCAAGAAGCTCTGTTCTAAAGAGAGCTCATGATATAAAAAAGCTAGCAAGTGGTGATGATGATGGTGGGTTTGCTTGTTGTGTGTTCCATGAAATTTTTAATCGTTTAAGGGTGTTTGCAGGAGAAGAAAACAAAAAGAACAATGTGATGATGATTGTGTCTCTAACCAAACAACAAGGAGAGGTAGGGTAATGTCTGTAAAGTGAATTAGGATGTTACCATTGTTCATGCTCTTTCTTCTCTCTCTCCATCGTCCATGTCTGTGTAGGCTGTGATCTTTGTTCCCTTATGTTTCTTTAGACTCTGTTCTCTTATTCTATTTTGTATCTTAGGCTCTTTTAGGAGTTGATGATGTTTATCAAAACGCTATGTAATTTTTATGACCACTTCTACTTTTATGATGGTTTCTTCACTCTCTTACGTTATGTAGTTATTTATTTATATGTCAGTATTTTCTTAGTAAGACATTAAATTAATGTTGCCTACATATCGATCAGTTGCTTTGTTTGAGATTATACTTCGAAATCCGGTTTAAGTTATTATTGCAAAAGTCAGGTAGAACGGTTTTCACTTCACTCACACACCATTTAACCAATTTTGTTTTTACTCGAAACACACCTTTTAACCAATTTCAATAGTTTCTCCAAAAAAAAATTGAATTTGAAAAAAAGTAGGTTAATTTTCGATTTTGGTTTTAGCAACTCTTTTAGAAAAAGGTTAAAAGAAATCACCACCATGTATACTACAACTGGCAATTAAAAGGATTTTCAAATATTATAGAACCAAAAATCTAAAATATCAAAATATTTTATTTTACACGATAGTGATTATGCAAAATAAAATTCTAAAATATCTAGATTATATGTCATTTAAAATAAAAAACTATAATATAATACTATAATATAAAATACATAGTAGAACTTTATTTATAGTGTTTATAACTTTATAGATTTATAATTTTGGGTTAATATATTAATAATAATAATCTATCATTATTGTATATAAATTTATGATTATTTTAACAAAATGATTTATCGATATAATTGAAATCCCGGTTAAAAAAGAAAATGAGTTGTTGATAAAACATCTCTATACTATTAAAAGAGAAGTACAAATGAAAATGGGTCGGGTTAAAATCAGAAAATTGACCCGAAATTCTGAAATCGGATCTTTGAAAATTTTTTGGAATATAAATTCGAATTAATAATGAAAAATCGAAATAAAATAAAATATTTATGGAAATCAAATAAAATCTGGTTGTACTTATGGTAACTAATAATAAAAGCATATTCCAAAAAATATTATACATTAATTACGTATAATAAATTTGTTCATATATTTTTGGGACTAATTCCATAACAATCAACGTTTTTGTCATTAATTTCGCCCATTTTAGCCAATTATCATTAATTGAAAGATATTTTACTTGCTTCTAAAGATTTCTAGAAAATTTATCACAAATAACCCATCTGTTTTATAAATTAAATTGATATTTTTATTTTGGTCGTGTAAATTAAATAGATATTTTTATTTTGGTCGTGTAAATTAAATAGATATGAAATCCATGTAACTAATTTTAATTTAATTAGATTAAATCAAAATTATGATATTTTCATACCTATAGCTTACCAAAGAAGTTTAATTTTCAATTTATAAAGATTTCTTGAATATGATTTTAGAATTATTCAACAAGATGATAAGTATTTATTAAATTTTGTGAATCATGAAAAATAATAATTAATTTTTAATCATTATACTTCATCTTTCAATCTCTCATCTAACAAATAAGATACATATTCTATTATTACTATGTCCAAACTTCATTTTGTTGTATGACTAAATAATATTCCCATTAGAACTGTCAAAGCGAGTTGATTCGTCCCGTTAAGTCCGTTTTGCGATAGACAAAAAATATTTTGACTTGTAGTTAGTCGGTCCACACAACCCGCGGGTAGCATATATGAAATACAAACCCGTCCCGCGAATGTATGCGGATTTGCGGGATTGTCCATGGATTTTGTTTAAATAATTTTAAAGTAACCAAAATTTAAAATACTACTAAAATAAATAAATAAATCAAAATACTATTAAAAGTTTGTTTAAATTACCACATGTTGAATAAATTATATTTTTATCAATAAATACTAATATGCGGGCTGATCCGCCAACCCGCGGATGAAAACCGATTAAACCTATGACCCACTGCGAATTAATCTATGTGGCCCGCTTATTTGCGGGTTTAATATATTTTCCCAAATCTGCCCCATAGTGAGATGATGTGGGCTCGATCCGCGGTTTTTGACCTATTTTGACTGCTCTAATTCCCATGAATCGTCTAATTTTAGAATTTTAAAAAATAAAATTCTATTTTGTAAATCATAATTAATACGATGGGTATATTTATAAACAATTTTACATTTTCTCTACAATTCGTTATTATGAATATTTATAAATATACTACACGATTCGTTCTACTAAAAAACACACAATATTAAACGCAACGTATGTAAACCAATATTCTCCCGCGGTGGACCGCGGGTCCGATCCTAGTGTTCCTTGTTTTAACAGACATTTTAAGTTTTATGATCAAATCATGTTTCCTTACTTAACTTGGTGCGCCAATATTTATTTCACGTGATCTTGTCTCTCATAAATTTCCCTATCAGTATGTTACGTTACTTGGAATGTAAGTAACACTTGCAGTCTTAGAGTTCACAAAGTTTACAGATGGTTTGTTGTTATAGTTAAAGAAAAACTTGAATGTGATCAATGCACATAAAACGACTCATAAATTAAAGTATGATGTACGTAAAGAAAAAAAAAACTTATAAAAAATAATAAGATCAATTTATTAGACTAATCACACGACATTATTGTCTATGAAAATAATTAAAACCCAAGAAAAAAAAGAGGACAAAAAGAGGAAAATGTGTCCTTATTTTCATCGACTAGTTTCATTCTCTTCTTTTGTTTCTATGACAGAATTGGGTAAGAAGAACTATAAATGATTTGGTTAAGCTTGGCACTTTTTTTTGTTCTGTTTTGCCTATCACTTTCTCTACTACTTTTCAGGAACTTCTTGGTTCAGTCATTACTCAATCACCACAGTGACAATATAACCAAATCATTCATCGAAAATATGGCCGGGAAGTTCACTGTCATGTCCTTTAACATAAACTCCTACCACGTCGTTCAATGGTTGCTTGACTATGGTCATCCCAACATGAAAGAGATCCATAACCGGAACATATCTTTGCTGATCCAATACGTTGGTCACCACTGAATTATGTCCTTGCTTGGTGATGATTTTTGGACAGCTTCCTTTTGACAAGAAAGGGTGAGTAGAAGAAACAACTGTTCTGTTTTGTCATGGCCTTGAGACTGTTTATCGTTGTGTATATCATTCGTAAATAGAAAGTAGATATAAGAATTTTTTTGAAAATATAGATCATTTGTATATAAAATATAGATAGAAGAGAAATCTAAACATTATCTCATCATTGTATATTATGATTCTTTTAGAATAACCCATTGTGTACATATATATCATTCATATCAATTTTTACTGTACTAAATGAGAACATGTGTATATCACAGATAAATCATATATTATTTAATTTTATGAATAGTTTTAATTGTATTAAAGTATATACATTTTATTAATTTATTAAATATTTATATTTAGAAAGTACATAATTTTTGTTATGTTTTAAAAGTAATATATACATTTTATTACTTTTTAATCAAATCGAACTATCGTGTTTAATTCATATTGTATGTAGTAATGCTGAATATTATTTTTTCCTTTTTGTATATAAAGGCTCTACATATTTTACTTCAACTAATAAATACATTTTTATTTTAGAAATGATTTGAAAGAATTTTATCAGCATGGCTCAATTTCTAAATTTATAGTTTGTATAACAAGGTAGTGATGTTTTTAATTCTCTTTCTTCGTCATTTTTAATTTTATACAAATCTCTATACTATTAAAAGAGAAGTACAAATGTAAATAGGTCGGGTCAAAATCAGAAAATTGACCCGAAATTTCTAAAATCGGATCTTTGAAATTTTTTTGGAATATAAATTCGAATTAATAATGAAAAATCAAACTAAAATCAAATGTTTATGGAAATCAAATAAAATTTGATTGTACTTATGGTAACTAATTATAAAATCATATTCCGAACAATATTATACATTAATTACGTATAATATATTTGTTCATATACTTTTGGAACTAATTCCATAACAATCAACGTTTTTCTCATTAATTTTACTTATTTTAGCCAGTTATCATTAATTAAAAGATATCTTACTTGCTTCTAGAGATTTCTAAAAAATTTATCACAACTAACACATCTATTTTATAAATTAAATAAATAGATATTTTTATTTTGGTCGTGTAAATTAAATAGATATGAAATCTATGTAACTAATTTTAATTTAATTAGATTAAATCGAAATTATGGTATTTTCATACAATCATACTTATAGTTTACCAAAGAAGTTTAATTTTCAAATTATAAAGATTTCTTGAATATGATTTTTAGAAATTATTCAACAAGATGATAAATATTAATTAAATTTTGTGAATCATGAAAAATATTAATTATTTTTAATCATTATATTTCACCTTTCAATCTCTCATCTAACAAATAAGATACATATTCTATAATTCCTATGTCCAAACTCCATTGAGTTGTATGACTAAATAATATTTCCATTAGAGCTATCAAAACGAGTTAATTCGTCCCGTTAAGCCTGTTTTGCAATAGGCAAAATATAGTTTGGCATGTAGTTAGTCTGTCTGCACGACCCGCGGGTAGCATATATGAAACACAACCCCGTCGCGCGAATGTATGCTGATTTGCGGGGTTATCCGTGGATTTTGTTTAAATAATTTTAGAGTAACCATTAAAATTCTACTAAAATAAATAAATTAAAATGTTTTTAGAGAAAATAATCTTATATATCATTATATTTATAATATTATAATTTCATTTATTTAAAGTTTTTTAAACTACCACATGTTGAATAAATTATATTTTTATCAATAAATACTATCATGCGGGTTGATCCGCCAACCCCCGGACGAAAACCGATGATCCACTGAGAATCAATCCATGTGGCTCGCTTATTTGCGGATTTAATATATTTTCCCAAATCTGGCCTATAGTGAGATGATTTGAACTCGACCCACGGTTTTTGACCTATTTTGACTGCTTTAATTCCCATGATTCGTCTAATTTTTGAATTCTAAAACACAAAATTCCATTTTGTAAATCATAATTAATACGATTGGTTTAATTATAAATAATTTAATATTTTCTTTACAATTTGTTATTAGGAATATTTATAAGTACATTACACGATTCGTTCTACTAAAAAACCCCACAATATTAAAATCAACGTATGTAAATCAATATTCTCCCGCGGTGGACCGCGGGTCTGATCCTAGTAAATGTCATAAAAGAAGAGCATGATTAATGGTTGGACTCCATTAGGGAGTCCAAACCATATTTATAATTGAAAAAAATGTAAAATTTGAAATTTAGACACTTAGTTGGTTTTTTATTTTTTTCACACTCCAATGGTAGATCCAAAATTGAGGATCCAAAAGTTAAAAATTTTGAAAAAATGTGTAAAATACAAAACTTGAGACACAATGAAACTAACTAAATGATCTTGATAGGCTCCCCAAGCAAACCACAATGATAAAGGCAGATGGAAACAAAGAAGAAAGAAGGTCCATTAGCATTCCTGCAATAAAAGCAACAAAGCTAGTCGTCACTCAAAGTCACCAACGCCAATTGCACTCAAAAGAGCTTAAAAATAGTCCAAATCAGAAATGCTGCAGCAGAAAAATGGTACTACTTTGAGAACTCAAAAGCTCACCTGAGTGGAAAGCATCATCTTTGTATAAGTTGAGTGGCCCTGCAACAAACATAGCCGAGACCCGAGAGACACAAATTCAAACACAAAACAGTAGCTATAAGGCATGTGTTCTTATATAGCTGTACGTGTTCCATAATTGAAACCCTACATAATCAGGAGTTACACTACCACGAAATCCCTGCATCAGACAATGTACAATTCAGACAAAAACCCCAATCCAGAAGACAGTTTCTAAAAGGAAAAATAAAGAAACTTAATAAAGACATGACAATAAGAATAGAAGTTTGGATCTTTGAAACTTAATAAAGATGCAAACCAAAGTAAACAATAAACTGTCACATAATCTTAAGCAAAAGCAATTAACAAAACCACTTTTCAACACACTCAAAAGCTGGAAAAACAAATCAATAACACAAAACTAGTTCTCATTAACAAATGACGTGTGATGTGAATAGAAAGTGTGGGCTTTAACTAAACATAACTAAAATACTTTCCTGTTGGGCCTAATCAAAACCTGTAAGGCCCAATTCACCCTTTAATCCAACGTACACAAACACAACCTTTTATGTTGACTTTTCTTCTCGAATCATCTTCTTCTTTAGACTTTCATCGCCACTGTTGCTTTCTTCTTTGCAGCCTCAATTGAGGAGCTCAATCTCAACACCCAGACGTAGCGTTCCTCACCGGACGTGAACTGGGTGACCAAAGTTTCGTGTGCTCTGTTTTCGTTTTACTCTTTTACATTTTTTTTTCTCTGCTTTAAACGCTTCTTGCAACTTTCTTTTGCAACCTCAAACTCTTGCAAACAAAGTTCAGAGGTGTTGTAAGTATAAAGTTCGAAGCTTTATATCTCTCTGTAAGTATAAAGTTCGAAGCTTTATATCTCTCTGAACCTTACACTACTCATCTTTCTACTCAGCCAACTCTCAGTTTCTCGAACGTTCCTTCGCATCTCATTCGCAAATCCTTCTCCTAAGCTGAAACAAGGTACGTCCATTGCGATTTTTGCGAACCCTAGCTTTTCTGAAAATGAAGAAATCTCTACACGAGAGCCTGAATCTGTGTTTTACTATCTTCGTTTCTAGATTCTTGGTTCGTGACATTGAAATTTCTGTTTAAAACGATGAAATCGAGTTTGTGTTGTTTAGTATTGTCTTGAATCTGTGTTTTACTATCTTCGTTTCTAGATTCTTGGTTCGTGACATTGAAATTTCTGTTTAAAACGATGAAATCGAGTTTGTGTTGTTTAGTATTGTCTTGAATCTGTGTTTTACTATCTTCGTTTCTAGATTCTTGGTTCGTGACATTGAAATTTCTGTTTAAAACGATGAAATCGAGTTTGTGTTGTTTAGTATTGTCTTGAATCTGTGTTTTACTATCTTCGTTTCTAGATTCTTGGTTCGTGACATTGAAATTTCTGTTTAAAACGATGAAATCGAGTTTGTGTTGTTTAGTATTGTCTTGAATCTGTGTTTTACTATCTTCGTTTCTAGATTCTTGGTTCGTGACATTGAAATTTCTGTTTAAAACGATGAAATCGAGTTTGTGTTGTTTAGTATTGTCTTGAATCTTCCATTGAAGTCTGATAAATCCTTCCATGTTGCTGCGTGAGAGCTTGAATCTGTAATTTTACTGTCTTCATCTCTAGATTCTTGGTTTGTGACATTGAAATTTCTTTCTTGAGAATAAAAATCAATCTTTTTCTTTTCATTCCCAGAGAATGGTGAATTGTCCATTGTGCGGTCAACAGTCACAGATTCATCCACAACATGGGAGCGTCTATTATGCACCTTGTGTAGTCTGTAACGAGACCTACTGTGCTATGGTATGTTGGTTACTTTTTTTTTTCTTTTGAATATTAAATACTTCTGTATAATTTTTGCTATTGTATTTATCATATTGCTTCTTTTTTTTTTTAGTGCGGTGCATTTCCAGATCATTTTCCTGCTTGGTGTGCTGACAACACTCAGTGGACTCAACATTATATCAACCGGACTAACGAAGTCAATGAGGTCTTGAATGCTATCACAGATTTGAATCAACGAAGATTAGATATGCTTGATTACAGGGAGATCATTGGCCATTTCCTATATGATCATCACCCACATATTTTATATGCTGTTGATGAGGTATTTGTTTATTTGCTTTTCAATCTGTAATTTAGTCTCTATTTGATTACTTTTTGACATTTTTTTTTTTTTCAGATGAGAAGGATCTTGCGCATTTTGGCCATGACTCGTGTCATCGCTTTTATCAATCCGGGTCTAGCACTTCTAAACAGTGTGGAGTACACAAATCTGGTGGATCACTTTAACGCATTACATGCCCAGCTTGATCTCAACATTGCTAAAAATGGAGCTTTTAACTTGGCTAGTACGAGGTGGCTTGCAGCTGGTTCTGTTATCCAACTCATAGGTCAGTTGCAGTTAAGACCCGTGGCTGAATTTCATCATGCAGTAGACGTTCCTCAACTTCCTGGAGGGATTGTTAATTTCAGCCGAAACCTGACCAGACTTGTGAAGATGTGGACTCTCTTAGCTCTTAGACGTATGTAACAGGAAGTCTTGTTACTAATTCACGTGGTTAAGTATTTTTGGTTTAGTAATTTCAATTTCACTTATGTAAACCGGTTTACTTGTTTGAACCGTGAGTTTGTGTCTTCGACATATGTACGCTCAAGCCTCTTATGAGAAAAGCAATCAAACAAATAACAAATCTTCACAGACCGCTGTTTTTAGTCTCAGAGCGGCTTTCTCACAGCTGTCTGTGCAGGACCAAGCCTCTTCTATTTCACCCAATTTCAGGTTAAGCCTTGGTTTGACCTGGTCCGGTTTTTATACCTCCAGGTAATTTTTAGGATCATCTTATTATCTTTTGTGTGAACCTGGAACTTGAGTGTTAGACCTTGTGGGCTGTAAAAGCTACTCAACTTTGACATCAAGAATGCTAAGGAGAGGAGATTGATCCAATTAAATGAGCTTGATGAGATAAGGTTGGATGCTTTTGAAAGTTCAAAGATTTATAAAGAGAAAACAAGGCCTTCCATGATAATAATATTTTGCCAAAGATCGAGACGATGTATGTAATTAAATTGTTTTTGTTGTGTTAATGCAAAAGGTGTCGGTTGATTTCTCCAAATCTCATGATCGCATTCCACATCCCGATCCTAGTCTCAGAAGAATCCATTGCGCAGGTGAGAACCAAGTGGAGTATCTAGAACTTGTGTTTGGTTTCTGATTCAATATGCTTGATCCTTAAATGTTAGACGAATATTCCATTTTCTTGTTTTACAATGTGAACTCACTTTGATTGCTGCCTTTGTTGGTATTAAGTTATGCTCATGTCTTGTTAGAGATTGATCCGCATCTCATGATATATGAGTGTTTTGTGTAAGTCTTGTGCGAGCTTTTAATGGTGCGTGGTCGTTTTGGAAATTTTAGGTTTGGGAGCAGAGAACAAAAGGCAATTCATCATTGTTCAATGGCCAAAAATTCAGGGTAATGAATATTGTTTAAGTTATGTTAGATATTCTCACCTATGTGTTCTGCAAGGATCAAGAGTATGATGAGAATGCACAAGATGCAATGGCTTTGAAATTGTTTTCTACTTAGTCACTCAATTGCATTTAGACTTCCACAGAGATTTTTAGTTTGTTCAATAAGCTTACTCCTAGTTAAAAAATTTCAGTATGGATCATTTTGTTTAGATGATGATGGTGGTACCAACCTTGGCCTGACAGATTACAGGTTTCTCATCTCTCTCCCTCTCTCTCTTTCATTGTTTGCATTAATCGATTTCTCGTATAACAATTAATCATGGAGATGGTTTCCAAGGACTTTTGTAGGAACGAACTTGAGTTCTCTGTGGGAGAGCTTCCTTATCACATCACAAGGTATATCTACAGAAGGTAACTGAGAGAGCTTCCATGTTATTTGATCAAGTGTATCTTATGGATATAGTTTTGTTCTATCTCACAGATGACTCTGTAAGATGTCGACATACCTCAAGTCCATTGGGTAATGGTGCAATTATCGAGACTTCTGACCAGAAGCTTATTGTGTTACGCCGGAGTAATAATGTCGGGGAATTCCCAGGTCACTACGTATTTCCTGGTGGCCATCCAGAGGTGTTTATTAACTTATAACTGCATGAGGAATCACATTGTCTCTCTCTCTTTCTCTATTTGTATGGTTGATGACTTTTAAACATTGCAGCCAATGGCAATAGGAATTGATTCTCATCAGCTTGAGAAAGATGGTGAGGTTTTAAACAAGAAGGTGACTCAAGAAATGTTTGACAGCATTACCCGTGAAGTTGTCGAAGAAACTGGCATACCGGCATCATCTCTTGTAAGCCAGAAGGATTTGTTTTTGTTTGTCTCATTGATGAATATCCGGAAACTGTCTGATCGATCTTTTGTACAATTACAGAGTCATCCTCTCTTCATCGGAATATCTAGGAGGGAGTTGAGAATGCGAGACCAGCTATGTTTTTCTTCATCAGGTGTAGTCATCATTCAGATGACATTCAAAAACTATACTCTAGTGCTGAAGATGGGTTTGAGTCAACACAGCTCCACACTGTCTCTATGGTTAGTTCCTTTAATCCATAAAGCATACATTCGGGAAACAAAGAACAATCGATTGCATGTTTTTACTCTCTAAAATGCTATGATCCATCTGTCACGAATAACTATAGTTTCTCTTCTAATAATTGATCAGGACGAGCTGAAGACGATGACATCAAGAATGCCAGGTTGCCACCATGGTGGTTTTGGGCTCTACGAATTGATGCTTCAAGGTCTCAAGAACTCTAATGAAACACATTTAACATCGACCTAAGAGGACGCAACTTGAACTTATTGTGTAGTTGTCTCATGGTTTGCATATGCTAATCACTATATGTTTTGTATGTTGGATAAATGAATTCCGTATACAGCTCATTTGCTATTTGAATATATATATATATATATATATATATACATACTATGACTATTTAGCGATAAGTTGCCATTACTAAATTTTCTAGTAAATTTACAGCAGTAATTTGATAAAATCCATGATGATGAGTAACTCAAGCATAAATAGCCCTGAGAATGGCTTTCATGTAACTCATGTAGTATCAATGTATATATCTGCTCATGGATACCATTTGTATTGAACTAAGAGGGTCGTCTGTTCGCTGTATCTAAACCATACGAGATTCTTGCAAAATTTTGATTAGACACGTTGACGATAAGGGTTCCATACAAGCTACAACATAGATAAATTATGAAGCCGTTCAAATTCTCATGCAAATCATTATTGATTCGGGCTTTTAACTGGCTTTGGATGAAGCTCCTTGGATTTATTGGAAGTTCTTCCTAAAAAATGCAGATAAACTAGCTGTAGCAGCACGACCGTTCTCTACACACCAGAAATAATCGTCCACTGAAACAAAACAAAAACCACAAATTATTCGATTATGCAGTGGTTGTGAAACAGGCTCCTTAAAACAACATATCTCAAACAAATGAAATGCATGAACACAAGAGACTATACATAAAATGTAGCATAGTGAATTCTATTCAAGAAAGGGAAGTTACAACAGTACCTGACATTACTCCATGGGTAACTAATTTAATGATCCCATCTTCTACCGGCTCGCCTTCCACTAGTGATGATCCTTCCGGAAGCACAGAGAGAGTTGTATTTGGAAAGACTAGATACGCAAAGGCCGACATTTTCTGTCATTGTAGCTTGTTTGGATCGAGAACAACATATCCACTATCAGCCAGGCAACAACATATAGCAACTGAAATATAAAAAATGCCGATAAAGAAATCAGAAGAAGCACAGAAAGTCAAATAGATAAAGAGTATAATGTTGCAAAGATAGATGCTTCATAGGGATTCCTGCGTCTACAAGAGCTGCACACGGTAGAAGCTAAACAAAATCGAATTAAGGAAAGAAGCAACCAAAGCTGTCTTTTAGATCAACGCACCACTAAAACATATTCAGCATCCCAACTTACAAAATTACAAGTTTTCACTACTCTCTATCAATGCTAATTTCTTATATCAGATTGAATGTGCTTGAACAACATCAGTAAATGGTTACCGAGAATCATAAAAAGGATACAGAGCCATCATCATGTGCAACCTGAAAAAAGAAAGGAAACATCAGATACAACTCAGATAAACTGAGATTCTTAAAAGACAGGACAAGTATTACAAAGGCAAAAGGCATTGAAATGAGTTACTCACCTGAATTATCACTGACGTGGTGGTATTTGGATTCACCGTCAAGACAGAAATACTCTGTATTGTCTTTTAAAGTATCATCTCATACTCCTTTTCGGCTTTTCCTAAAATCACGCAGAATTAGAAATCAGTCAGAAACACAAGTCCTACACAATGAAACAAAGAACCACCTACACCATGGATTCAAGCAGCGAAAAAACATCTAGAGATTCTAGACATGATCAAACTAAATGCAGTTTATTATACCAATCTGCCCTGATTTAGGCTTCCATATGACTTCAAAGCAAGCCTTCTCAGGGTTCTCGTTCTTCCTAGTTCCCGGTTTAGGTCCATAAACTGCAGCTAAAACTTTTGTATCCCCTAATATAAAAACAATAAGCATACCTATTAGAACCCATCTGTAACCAAACAAAACGAAAGATAAAGACACCTTGCGACCAGCTAGCAGAGCCATGAGGACGATGAAGGATGTTACGAGAACAAGCAAGAGGTCTCAACTGATCCGGAGTTCTGCCATCTTCTCTGTCAATCTCAATTGCTCCAATACTCACTTCACACACAACACAAGAGTTTTCGAACGTGTAAGCGTCTCTGGTCCTCAACTGAATTTGTCAGTTTCTAAAGTTTCCTAAACTCTTTCTAAAACAGAAGTGAAGACAAAGATAAATCGTTTCTAGCTCAACATTACGTGTATTGAGATAAAAGATTCAATACTTTCGAATCGTTCTAACTTCTTAGTAGGATTTTTCTTTACTGAAGAAAAAAAACTCCTTCTTTCAATTCTACAATGCTCGTTACGTCGCACATATATAAAGACAATACTGAAACAAAACCCCCTCTACTCTATCGATCTTTAAGCCGAAGTAGAACGCGAACAAACACAAAATTAGAGGAAAATCAAAAGTTTCGAGGAAGCTAAAGGAAGAAAAGACGATTCCTTTTCATTACGATATTCTTTGCGTTTGCTCTGTTTTGTTTTGTTTTGCTTTGAAGTCTTATGCTGTTTACTGATTCTGAAGCTTTGGTGCGATCACGTATATACAGGGAAAGAGTAGGGGTAGGGAAAAGGATAAGAGAGAGAAGGTTCTGCAAGTTTCTTGAAAAATCATGCGACTCTTCTTTATAACTTTTGGTTTCAAGCGTCGTTACCCGACTTCTCAGGTGATTTCAAGAAGTTTCGGCGCTGACTGACTGATACATATTTGTGAAGTACAACCGTTTAAGGCCAAATAGTCTTGGGTTATTCTAAGAAGAAAAAAAAGAACATAAGTAAGTGCAGAATCTAACAATCATGAAGTTAAATTTAGAGACTTGAGTTACTCAAGAAAGTCTTTGTTTGCTTTCATAGGTTAAGTGAGAAGCAAAGAGACGGAAGAGAATGACAAATAAAGGAGCCAATGAGCCATTGATTTTTGGAAAGATTTTTTTATCATGATAAAAGGTAAAATAGTGATGTGAGATTTCATTTGTTAGTGAAATCATATTTATAGAGCTTATAGTGGTTAAGTTAAGTTCGATAGTAAATCAAGAATATCTTGGCCATAAAATCATATTTGCTAGATATTTACCACATTTTATGGAATGCGAAATAAATGGTAGATTAGAAAATTAGGAATCTCGAGATATGTTAAAGAAATATTTTTTAAACTAGTTTTTTTTTATTTTTTTAGCAATTTTAAAATATATTTTATTTTAGGGAGATTTACAAAAATACCCTTTCAACCATGCCCCTAATCAAAAATGCGCTTTCCCTTTGTCCCTTTTTAAAAATACCTCTCATTTTGTAGCAAAAGGTCCAAATTGCCCTTAATAATCAAAACCCTATCTTCAAGACACAAAACCCTATCTTCTTCAAAAATTTCCCGCCAAAAATTTCGAAACTTTTCCCGCCAAAAAATTTTGAATTTTTTTCCGCAAAAAAAAATCGAAAATTTTCCCGCCAAAAATTCCGAAAATTTTCCCGCCAAAAAAAAAATATATTTTCCCGCCAAAAAAACCATGTAAAAACCATATAAAAACCATGTAAAAACCATTTTAAAAAAACCATATAAAAACCATGTAAAAACCATATAAAAACTATGTAAAAGGTATTGTTTTTCCAGCCAAAAAACGTTTTTTCGTAAAAAAAAATTTCCGAAAAAAAAAAATTTCCGCCAAAATTTTCCCGCAACTTTTTTGGTGGGAAAAGTAATCCCATAAACCACAAAAAGTTTCCCGCCAAAAAAGAATTTCGACAAAAATTTTCCCGTAATTTTTTGGCGGGAAAAATAATCTCATAATTTATTCCGCAAAAATTATTGTAATTATTTATTTTTTGAATATAAATATTTTTTAAATAAGGTTTAAGTTTAGGGATATTTGCCCTTAAGTTTATAACATAAGGGCAAAATGGTCTCTTTAGTACAAATTATAGAGGGGTATATATGAGAGAGGTATTTTTGAAAAGTGACAAGGAAGGAGGGGCATTTGTAGCAATTTCTTTTTATTTTATACAATTACAATTTTATTTAATAATAACCCACTTTTTCAAAAATAATTATTCCAAACTTTATTTTATTTATTTCTTTTCTAATTAAATTTAGAATATTTTAGTCTACTATTATTTTTTTAATATAACAAAATATAGATAAAATAGAGTTTTAACATTTCAGTAGGAGTGCAATACTTTATTACTATTCAATTTAAATTAATATTTCTGATATCTTTTATTTTATTATTAATTATATTTCACTTCTAACAATAAGAAATATTGTTTTCAAAATTTTAATATTTAAACTAATTAAAAAATCCAAAATTTGGAATTACTTATGTACTATATATATATATATATATATGATTGTATATTTATTTATGATTTTTTAAAATTTTTATTTTTTAAAATAGAAAACTATGTCTAAATTTTAGGAGATATATTATACTTTTAAAAAGATATGTGAATATATATATTTGTTAAGTACCTAATTCGGATTTCATAGTAATTATTGTAATTAATAATGTGAAAAATATGGAAATATTGTTAAAATTATAATAAAGAACTACAATCTAACCCGCGGTATACCGTGGAATATATTCTTTTTCATTCAATCTTAAGTTCTTAACTAAATCTTAATTATAGTATGTTTAATATTATAATATTAGTGATGCTAACAAAGAAATAAAAACATTTTAACCCGTGTTATAGCATTTAATTAATGATATTTTTTATTTATGTTAATACCAATCCAAACCTATCCTGCCATATAACCCCGTGATATTTTAAACGTTTTTTTCAGTTTAAATATTCATAATATTTTAAACTTTTTGTAAAATTGGAAAATATCGATAATACAAGTAAACGGTTCAATTAAATAACTGAATTAAATCAAACATAAACTTTTAAATTTGGATGCTTGTTAAGCTTCTTGTGTCATTTGGATTTGAATTCATTTTGGTCATATTTATAATATGACTATGAATCATTATATAAAAATTTTAGTCGATGTGAGACATTGAGCACACATTTCTTTTTTTTATTGATTGAATAATATATGTCTATTTTAAAAAATTTGAATCATAACATTTGCAGAAAAAAATCTACATTTTATTTACTTTATGTATAATATGATATTTCAAAAAGATTAAAAATAAATAAATAAAGATGATAGGAGAATCATAATTTTAACAAAATCTTTTAAGAATCATAATTGTAAATCTTAACAAAATCTTTTAAATATCTATAATATTAATTGGAGTGGCATTCTTTGTAAATAAACTTCAAGACTACTTTACAAAAAGTACTTCAATTTTAATAATATAGATTTGTATATCATAATAATTGTTTAAATAACAGTGCCCAAAATTAAGAAACTTGTTAAAAAATCAAATTACTACTTTAATTTTTTTATGGAAAACGATTTATTATAATAACGGAAAATTAGGAAAGTCTGTTTACGCAAATATATTAAAAAAAATGAGTAGACAAAACTACCCTGCTATAATGTGGGCAAAAGTAACTGAAAATATAGTGACATATTACGTAATATAATACATGGAAACTGGTTAAACTTTATTTAACATTGCTCAAATAATAGTATAGAGATGTCTCAAATAAACTGAATTCAAATTTCGGTTTGATTCGGAAGCGAAAAGCTCCGAACTTGGACCTTTACTTGGGTCCAAATTTATGGGCAACAGTATAAGCAGAAGTGAAACTGTTGAGGAGATCATCCATTTGACGAAATCAAATTCGTTACAGGTCTGCCTTGTTAAGACGGGAGAAACTATACCTTTTATTAATATCTTGGAGCTACGACCATTGAGGAAAAATTTGTACGTTACTGAAATCGGCTCACTCAAGCTCTTATTCAGGAAGTATTTTAGTGACTCAGGTCATCGTATTATACGGTAATATTTGTTTTTATCAAAAATTCCAAATATTTAATTTTGGTAAGTTTTGTGAATAATATCAAAATTGTTTACAAAATTAAATTGAATCTAATTGATAAAATCAATATATAATATGGTCTAATACAAAATTGTGGTAGGTATCAAGATGATATCTATGATCGTGAATGGCACGCATCCTTCCTGGAGATGAGTTGGGCACAAGTAACGACGACTGAGAATGTAACCGTTTTTGTTTTGTCTTTTGGAGCGTTTTAATTGTCACATCTTTTTCTATAATAAAATAGAAAAAGGGGGAGAGAAAACGAAATGAAGAAGGAAGGAATAAAAGTGTTGCATAACAGTTTTCTCCGACAATTGCTCTGCTTTGTCTGATGAATACAGACCACAACTCTTTCAACATGAACAGTCTTCTCTTTTCCACCATTCGTAACACTCACAAGTCACAAACAACGTGCGAACCAGAAACACTATCAACTTGCCTTTTCTTTTATTTCTCTTCTTCTTCGTCATGGTCATGATTGTCATTTCTTTGTTTTCACCCAGACCCATGTCAAAAGCTTCCACCTTTATAGAGTTTTAGATTCAAGCGCTTAACTTACGTGTGACACACGCAAATCTGGTGATGGTGGAGGTCCCTAGCTCTGTGGGCACAACTGCAAGCCTTTCCTTAAGGTTAGGGCAAACGGTATTAGCATTTGGCTCTCTTCTCTTCATGACCATCGGTGTTCGCTTCTACCAATTCACTGCTTTCTGGTAAACAACTCTTAATTCCAGATTCTATATTCTCCTATGAACCCTAATAATCTTATAAACAAATCTGCAGCTACTTGGTGACGATCATGTCATTAGCTATACCATGGAATCTGACATTAGCTGTAGTAGATATCTATTGCGTTCTTCTTAACCAACCATTTCAAAAGCCACGGATCCTTCTCGTTATATCTATTGTTGATTGGGTAACGCAAATCTATACCCAATGCCTACTGAGAAAAAAACACACAAGTATTCGATCTAAAGTCACCATTTTTATTAATTTTGCAGGTGGTGTCTGTTCTAGCTTTGGCTTCAGCTTCATCAGCAGCTAGTGTTGTAGATATTTTGCGATCAGACGAATCCTCTTGCCCTCCAACAATCTGCAACAGATATCAGTTTGCAGCAACATTAGCTTTCTTGACTTGGTTCTTGTCTCTCTCTTCTTCTCTCTTCAATCTCTGGTTACTTCCTTCTCTGATCTAAAACAAAACATAAATAGATAGGTAGCAAAGACAAAATTGTCTATAGAAACTCAAATCTTTGTAACTTTATAGATATCTAACCAAAGAAAGATTCATATAATGTCAGTAAAAAACTGATGTTCCAATTTGACTAGGCCAAATCACATTTGAGGAGTTCTCTGTTAGTACTATTCTTTAGAAGGCATTTTCGCTCATTGTTCCATACCCAAAATCAAGAATGTAATAACAACTCATCACTATCTCACACATTTGCCTGAAACAGCAATGCACTGATGATTTGCCAAATTGACATAAGAAGACAAGAGTTTCTTAACAGTGTTATTCATCAACTTTCACCAGATAAATCTCTATTACCACCATATAACTCATAATCATCTCAGGAAATCAAATATCACAGACATGATCCAAAAGCATAAACTTTGATGCAATATGCTGATCGGGACAACTCCTAGCTTGTCTCAGAGACATGTTTTTCCTTCTCTATGCACGGTTCTCTTAACAAAAACTGCAGTAAGAAGAAAAGGGATGATAAGTCTATTAAAATGTCATTAAAATGCTTATGCTTATTTTAGCTCCAGGATGTCTTTTGCATTTGGTTACAAAGCCCAGAGTTAAAAGGACATAAGATTTCAATCTTTTCTGTTTTCAATGTTAGCTTCTTAATATGCTTTCTCGAGAAAAGGATGAATATAATTGTAAAAAGGATTTTGTTTGAATAAAATTTAACATTCATACAAAAAAAAAAAGAAAAGAAAAAAAGAAAGAATTAGAGCATCGCACAGAAAAAACATTTCAACATCCGAAGTTCTCTTGGTATAATGATGTAGTGTGACATAGTATACATCTAGGAAGCACGGAAGCTTCGTCGGACGTCCGCTTCCCGCTTCGGAATCTTAGTCGGAATCGGAAGCTCTCGGAAGCTTTCGGAATCTCGCTTCCATAACGCTTCTAAAAAATTCATTTTGGAAGCTCCTTGGAAGCTTACGATTCTATTTTGGAAGCTTGCGATTCCATTTAAAAAATTTGATGTCACAAAATAAATAAGAAATATGAAATTATGTTTGATAGTTTTTTTATACAACAAAAGAAAAACCAAAACTAATTTTGCATACTAATTTTGTATTTTATTTTTTAAAATATCATAGTTAGAAAAATGATAGCAGCATGAATCATTTATTAGAGAGATGTTGAAATGATTAATTGAATTAAATTAATTTTGAGAAATTTGAGTTTGATGATGTTTTTATTGGTAAAAAAAATTTAAAACAATTTTATTTGATGGAATTAGTAAAATGAGAATGAAGAATGATCTTAAATTTTTGACTTTGAACTATTTGACTTTTCTCTATTGTAAACGTACACTATTTGATTTTTAAATATAGAGAGATATTTAAAATTTATGTATTAGATTTGTATGTTAATTATAATTTTTATATGATATAATGTTTAATGTTTATTATATATGTATATATATATATATATATATATATATATATTAATTTTTATATACGCTTCCAACACGTACCCACTTTTGATAATTTCTATAAAAATCGCTTCCACGTTTCCAAACGTTTCGTTTCCGCGTACCCGCTTCTGATTCCATGCAACCTAGGTATACATCATTATATTGGACATAGGTCAATGTTGACCCTTGACATGTGGAACTTTGGACTTTTGACCTTTTATTTTCCTAATTTTACTACAAAATCGACCGGCATAAAGGAAGTACTGTTTATATCATTCTTTTTGTTTTCCTTTTTCTCTCTACAGCATTATTGAAATCTTTTCTTGTTATAAGTCTTAACATTGTGGTTTTTTTCTCTCTTCTCTTGTTTTGTTTAGATACTACCGAACTAATTGGTTGACCGAGAAAAGCGATGTGTTCAGCTTCGGTGTTGTTCTACTAGAGCTAGTAACGAACCAACCCGTGATAGACCAGAAAAGGGAAAGATCACATATAGGTGAATGGGTAGGTTTGATGCTATCAAGAGACTTTGATCACATTAATAGCATTGTGGATCCCAAGCTTCAAGGAGACTTTGATCCGAACACAATATGGAAAGTTGTTGAGACAGCAATGACTTGCCTGAATCCATCTTCTTCACGAAGACCAACGATGACTCAAGTCGTAATGGATCTTAAAGAATGTCTGAACATGGAGATGACAAGAAACATGGGAAGCCGTATGACGGATTCAACTAACGATTCTTCAATCGAGCTGTCCATGAATTACACAACAGAGCTTAATCCAGGAGCTAGGTGAATCAAATCTTATATTAAATATGTTTGAAGCTGGAAGTTTCTTTGTATTTCTCTGTTTTATTTACTCACTCTGTTTAAAACAGAGCGTCGAATTCCTCTGTTTTACTATTTTTTCCTCTTTTTTTTTTTTTTTTTCTCTTACCATTACCAACTAAGATTTTTAGATTGCATTCAAATTAAAAGAGTTTTATAACTACTCGGAGAAAAATACCAAAGGCTACACGGAGCCGAATAAACAAAGACATCGACAGATTGGTCGAGCAAATGATAGAACTAAAACAACGAAAACTCAAATAGAGATAACCAGCGGCGGCAAACGTCACGACAGAGGTCAAACGGAGAGGCTTGATCCTGGCTTCGTTATGCACTTATCAAAACATTTTACTCTCACAGTCTGCACAACCACAACAACAAAAAACCAAACTTTAATACAATAACATTGAAAATCCATGGAAACAAGGTTGGTTCATAACAGAAAACTACTAAAATCACATTGGATTGGTCGAAAAAAGTTAACTTTGTGTACAAAAAAAGAGTCAAATTGGTCAAAGATTTCAAAGATTGAAACTTTAAATCAATAACATTGAGGATCCTTGGAGATATTTAAGAACTACTGATTCACAGACAATCTTCGAGATTGGTCGGAAATTTCTACTTCCTGTACTAAAAATAGACTTCAAATTGGTCGGCGATTTCAAAGATTGAAAGAGGAATTAGGAAAAAGATTTAGACCTCGATGAACTCTTCGGCGTAAGCTTGAGCGAGTTGTGTCTTAACCTGCTCCATGAGTACTTCGGCGAAGGCGAAGGCGAAGCACCATACGAGAAGATCACCGGAAATGTGGACAAAATCTTCGCCTGAGAATCTGAGATCGAAGAGAAGAAGAGCGAAGGTCTTAGGGTTTTTCTCTGGGTCTTTCCATTTTTTAAAGATGGGCCTTTTCAGAACCTCATACAAAGCCCAACTTAACTAACTAATTGACGTAAATGCCCCTCGGTTATAAAACCTTCACAAGTTTTGTTTTCTGGTCAAACTCCAAGTTTTTACTTTTTTAACCTATTGCTTTTCAAAAACTAATTTAATCATGTTCACTATATTGAAGTAGAGTTCTTATTAATTCACCAAAAAAAAAAAGTAGAGTTCTTATTAGATCTGAGCATTTGAAAATTCGGGTCTCTTCAGTTCGGATTTCAGATAATTCGACTATTCGAGTATTAGAAGAACAGATACCGAATTTAGGCAAAAAAAAAAAAAAAAGAGTAAGGTTCATAAAGCTTCAAGTATTGTAAAACAGGAATGAAGAAAAATTAAATATGAATATGTATTTTGGTTTGGCTTAATGTGTTTCAAATATAGCAATTGATATGGGGAAATTTACTTTAGAGTTTAGACTCTTTATATTATATATCTTGAAATTGTACCACAACACAGTGCAAACTCACATTCCAAGTTCCAACAAACAAACAGATCCATTAGATCAATGCAGCTTCAATAGTTCTTCGACCTTGTTGATAGTACTTGTAGTGGAGCTCCGCATACTTGGTAATTGTTTTATACAATCTTGGTCTTGCCTCAGACACAAGCCCATTCGCAGGCTGAATCTCTTTGTCTGGCCCCGGAACACAAAACGTTGCCACAGAGATCCTTTCCTTTTCTCTGTTCGTCACCACTCTATGAACCGGACTCTTGTATATCCCATTACTCATTATCTAAACACACACGAGAGATTATGTCAAAACATACACCAATCAATCTTTGAAAATCATACTATACAATATCTACATGATTAATTTACCTCCATCTGATCTCCTAGATTGATCAGAATTGTATCAGGGACTATTGGAGCTTTATACCACTTCCCATCTTTGAGAAACTGAAGTCCTTCGACATCTTTGTCGGGTAAGAGAAGAGTGATAGCCGATCCATCAGCGTGCGGTTTAATCCCAATAACCTTGTCTGGCCTTGGACATGGAGGAAAGAAGTTGAATCTTGAATTCATTATAGCATTTTCTCCATACATCTTTAGAAAACAATTCTCTTCCAATTCCAATGATCTAGCCATAGCCTTAAAGAATTTCTCAATCACTACCCGTTGCTTCATCGTGTATTCATGTAAAGTTTCACTAAAGAAAGAAACTATTGTCAAAACTCACCACCAGTCAATAATGAACCAAGGTGGTGTCGCAATTGGAAAAGGTATGGATTTTATTACCTGAACCCGACCGGGACTTGAGGCCAGAACTGAAGTTGACGCTTATCTTCAGGGTAAGTAGTGAGAAACAAACGGTCGATCCAATCAAGAACTTGATTATCTGACAGAATCATATCGTTTCCATATCCTTGGATATTACCTGTCTCTCTCGCGCACTTGTGTTTCTCTTCGGTCGGAAGCGCAAAGAACTGCTTGGTTAGCTTGTAAATCTTGTCAAGAAACTCTTCAGTAATTCCATGATTCATCACCTGCTTACTTCAATAAGAACTTGTCCAGACTCTGATCATTACTATTTACTAAAGAGAGGATCAAACCTGAACAACGCCCCATGTAGATAGTGCTGAGTGAAGTTTCTTCAACTCTTCTCGACCATCTTCAGAAGAAGAAAAGAGAAGACTGAGATCGATGGCTGGAATATCCATCTCCGGCACCGCACCGTTAAGAGGTTGACTTTCGCCTTCGCTGGTTGGCTCATGGAGATATCTCTCCGGTAGTCCTTCGCCGGCTGCAACCACCTCTTGGACAGTCTTGAACTTTGGCTTCTCCATTGTTGCTTGCTACTGATTTCAGAATCTTGAATATGATGAGCAATTTGGGACAAAAGATCAGAAGACAATCTTGACTTTGTTGTCGGTTTGGCATTTTCTAAACCCAAAGATAACACTACTTTATTATTTTATTGACTGCAATTGAGTTTTATTAATAGAGAAAACGATTCATACAGAGGACTATATATAATACAGGGGCATTTGTAGTTAGAGATACATTCAGATCATATAACTTGACAAACGAGAAAACCTACCCACAAGACAAAAATAGTATTCACCATCTATATTCTAACTTCACTGTGTAACTCAGAACAAGACCTCCACGCAAATCAGTTCTGAAGTTTCAGTTTCTAAGTTCTCTCTTCCCATATGATCAGCAACATGTAGAATGCGTTCTTGAAAACTATACCTTTTCCATAATTCTGTACAACTATATTGGTTCTGACTTGAAATGTATCAGATTTCGAAGAACTAATCAAGATTGCTCGGAGACAACTGAAGTATTCTTCTTGATTAGCTCAGGAACTTGATCGAGCAATCGATTCATGTCATCAGGGAATTGGTTCTTGGCTCTGTTTGTTCTTCCCCCTACGACCAATGTTGTTCCATTTTGTAGTGCCCATATCTTTATATGATGTTTCAAAGATAGAACATAAGTGATTGAATATCAAACAAAAAAAACAGAGTTAGATGATGAAAACAAAATCTAGTAGACCCAAATGCCAATGGGGCACATTGGTATATAACAAGACTTTTTAGATCGGATATCGATTTTGAGAGTTACTTTTACCTGTGAGTGAGATAAGTAACTGATACAAGTTGTGAGCATTAGAGCACCAAAACCAGCATAGACCACTGGTACTCCTGGGTCCGTCTGAGACACATGACCAAGAACAAAGATGTCATATAATTTTACAAACTAGGACATCTCTTTTTTTGTGTGCCGGTTACATTTTAAGAAGTCCTTTTACCTTTAACTCAAGGCCAGTGCTTCCAATTGCATCCTCAATAACGATCTTCATACCATTGATTTCAATGGGAAGCTTTGAGTTTGGTCTCCTTATTCCAGCGAATTTTCCTTCCAAATCATACACAACAATGGATTGTAGATCCCGAGCTAGCATAGATCTGAAAAAAAACTCAACTGGAGCAAAGTTAAGGCCAATAGAAGACACCAAAATGTAACTCTATGTCAAGAATCCAAGAAAATGTTTCATCACTTATACACTCGTTGGCTTAATTGTAAAGAAAGGTTGTCAAAGGCAAGAGGGTTCTTACATTCCTTTGACATTGGGAGCATTAGTATCACCAACTGGTAAGAAGGTCCCATATAACTTCTTATCTCCATTGATCTTGATAGGTGCCATAGCCAAGTTGAATGGTCCTTCACCATCCTTTGTCACCTGCAAGGCTGAGAAACTCCAATCTGTCTGGTATACGGTGACCCCACCATATCTCAAGGGATCATTAACGCTAATTGTTTTTCTCAGAACCTCTTTCCCATTAAGGTCACGTAGTGAAAGATCAGAGTGAAACTGTGAGACCTACAACAACAAATCGAAAAAGATAAATCAAACAGAATTCGATTTAATTTTGAATGGTCACAAGACATTTCAATCATGAAGACAAAGTGAGAGAGCAGGGAGAGCAAAACAAAAGACTCACCTCTCCACTGTCATAATAATCCATGGTGAATCGGTTAACATGAACTTCAGTATTAAAAGCATCTGTTGGAATTGAGAAAAACCCAACTGGGGCTAATACATCTCCCATGACAAAATTTAGCCCTTGAGGAACTGTGACCGAGCCTCTAAAACTCCCGGTCGCACTAAGAGTTCCACCCACCATAATCAGAAGCATTGCTATATGTACTCCAATAGGCGCAAATCGACCAGCCAAACCTTTAAAAGCATACAACGAAGGACCCTTCATAAATACCTGCAGAACAAACCAACTGAAAAATTACTACCACTAGACCAAGACAAACCTCACAGACACATAAAAGGAGAGTACTAATCCTAACCTCAAATCCATCACCCATCAAAATCATTCCTAAGTCTTGAATGGATGCTCTTGGAAGAGTATCTGCAAACTCCTGCTTTTTAATTGCCTCATCTGACTTCATAAAACTCCATCTGTAATTTGCTAAAGTCATGAACTCTTCAGTAGAAACAACAAGTTACAAAACGAACAAAGGAAACAAAAAAAAACAGACCTTCTTGCAACCTTAACCAAAGGTATCTGAGTAGTATAAGTACATGCCATAAGGGAAGCTGCTAAAAGAACCAACATCCCAAGAAAAATAGGAGCAGAGTACATATGATCCAATCCAAGTGTGGAAATCCATCTCC